GTTAAAGATTGGGTAATCACAGATCATAACATGGTACTGACTATAATACCATTAGGTACTCAATTTTTTTTATTTTCTCCATTCCAATAGTAAATAGTTTCAAATGAAAATACGGCATTCATAAAAAGTTTTCAGAAGCCCTCAAAAATAAATTAAAACGAAAGACCTTAATAATATTTCAAGAACTAGAAACAATGACTTTAAACATCATAAAAACAACCCAAGAATCGGCATCACAGCCTTACTCACAGAAAAACACTACAAGCCCAAACCACTTGTAACGTGGTGAAATAACCAAATTAAAATACAAAAATCGAAAACTAAAGCAGCAAGAAGAAGAATGCAAATGCTCACAGAGGTAACCCACAGTTCCCTTCGGAAAGAATAAATTCAAAAAAATAGAAAAAGAAATATTTAGAAAAATGATCTTCCAATAGAAAACCCGTATAGAAGAAGTTCTGCACCGAAACAACCTCAATTTATGGTCCATGACAAAAATTTTCACTCCGTCTATTATTCATTTAAAAAAAAAAAAAAAGTGTCACCTTCCTCCCAAGACAGCAACAGAATATTTTAACTCATCTTTCCAAGGAGATAGTCAAATTCTGGACCCCAGTTATCACACAACAATAAGACAAGAATCCCTAATTGTCAGAAAAGGGCTAATTGCTGAGGTTGTTGGAATTTCAAAAGGATCGGTCAATTCCATTTTGGGCCTCAAATCTCAATTAGTACAGAAAGCACTGAATGCGCCAGATCGCACTGCATTGATTTTCGCCAAAAATGAAACCCATATCGTTCCACAACCACCGTATTCCACCGTGCGACTTTTTGGCTATTCCCTAAACTGAAAAGACCACTCCGGGGTCACCGCTTTGAGCCGATTGAAGAGATTCAACTTGAATCGTCGTGCGCTTTGAAGGCCATTCCTGCCGATGACTTTTTAGCCTGCATTGGGGATTGGAAAAAAGTTGGCGTAAGTGCATTGTGTCCGGAGGGGATTACTTTGAAGGCGAAAAACTAAATTTGGAAGAATAAATAAAGAGTTTTTGAAAAAAAAAAAAAATAATTGATCTTACTTTTGGGCACAGTAGTACGTATAATTTTAAGGATGAAGTCGCTGTCTGTAAACATAAAGTAATATTGAGGTTGGAATAATAGGTTTTGTGTAAGAAATTAGTTCGGACTTAATAAAATGAACTAAAAATGATATAACACAGGGATTTGTCCCTTTCTTGTTTGTGGAAGTATTTGACCATCTGACCGTATGGTTTTCAGTTTGGTCCTATTACTGATCGACAGGATGATTTTTATTTTTGTCAAAAATAATTATAACAATTTTTAATAAAAATTAAATTTGATAAAAATAAGGTTCATGTTTATTCTTCAAATTATCTTTGACTGTATATTTTTGAAAATTAATTAAATTAAAAATACTCGTTAGGCATGAAATATGATGAAATATTTAAGCACATAAAAAATAAAAATTACTTTTCCTTTCAATTGACCGAATACTAATTGAACAAATTATTGACACACAATATGATTTGCACGTTTTTTCAATTCCTTCTATATTAGCTCACACTCTGCCTGTATATATCTTGTTCAAATTTTCAATCGTTCATAAAACGCTTTTTATTCATCCATTCAAGTTCAAATACATTTTTTTGAACTTGTAGTGGACGACACTGGATGTTAATACAGTTTTTCAAATATTAGTTCTGTAATTAAATTTAATTAATTAATTTTAGTTGTTTTTAGATTTCAGTTGCATCTATCTACCAATAGATGTCGCCAGATAAACTTTAAAAAATGAATGAAAGTTATTTATAAAGGACTTTCTGCAATAGAGTGAAAAAAAAAAATAGGAATTGATATATAAATTTTTTTTTATATTACTTTTTTAATATATATTCGCCATTTCGGATAGCTGCATTTTTTGGACGAGAAATTACTTCTTTTACTTTATAGCTTTTTTTCACATTGCTCCAAGGGATTGATTATTTGTCGCTCAATGATTTAATGATAGTTAAAGATTATATCAGTAGGGTCGAAAAATGGATAACAAAATTTCTGCAATATGTTTAATAACACTTTCTAGTAAAAGGTGAAAACAATCGTTGCTATGTTTACAGCTTAACATTTAATATGATATATTGAATATAATTTGGCTACCGATTGTTTTGAAAGGTAAACATCCTTTTTAACACCGGAAACGAACAAAATTATTGCTTTTTAGGCTGGGCTAGTCAGATACAGCCATCTAAAAACAGTTTTGAGAGAAAATTTTAATATTTAGTAGGGATTTCTCTCAACTAATTTTCGTTTTGATTTTTTAAGTAATTTTAAATTTCAGTGATTAAAAATTAAAATTATTTTACTGTAACTAAAAATTATCTAATTAAAGCCTTTCTATCCTATTATTCCACTCTGTTCGAATCCGTTTGGCCAGTTGCCAATTTTCCACACAATCGACGATTGAAATGTAATTCAATTGCCTGAATCATGGTAAAGTGCACAGTTAGCGTGTAGGAAGGATAAAGTTCAATAGGCTAGTGGCATTCATCGCACTCATTACCATGAGAAAAAAGACAGTCAGACACTTCATTGTGACATTACAAGACAACGTGTGTATATGTATCGTGTCGACAGTCAAGCTTACCCGATGGGTGTTTTTCGGGTTTTCTATCACGTCGGGTACGTATGCGATTGAGACTGCTGGTCTCGCATCGACAATCAGATTGTCTGGTGAAAGTGTTTCGATTTTTTCCCTTACGATATGAAAATACGAAGCAGTTGCCTCTAAAAAATTCCTCCTTGATGACAATGACATTCTTCGTCACCGGTCGGTGGGCTCTTTGTAGTATACATGAGGCCCACTAATGTATATTATAAAATAAAGTGATAAATAGTTCTAATTAATAATTGACACTTTCATACATTAGCGGCAGTTTCTAATCATTTTCAAAACGTTGATTATGACTCGAGTACCATTCAAGAAGTTATATATCCAAGCGGCTGTATCAATTTCAACATACTAACTTCATGCCATTTAATTAAAGCTTTTATAATTATTCATATTTAACTTAGATCAAGAATAGGAAATTGCAAAAATTAATTTTATTTTTTGAAAATAATTCATAACAAAATCATCTTATAAATCTCATAAAGCTTTGGCTATGACTCAACTACCAATCAAAAATTACATGTCAGCGGCTGTATCATTTTTAAACTCGCTAATTTAATGTCATTGCATTAATTAGAAATTTTATAAAAATTAATATTAAACTTACGATCAAAAATCGGAAATTACAAAAATTACTCTTATTTTTCGAAAATAATTCATAACAAAAATTTTGTCATTGATCTTGTCAATCGTCATAAATCTCACAGGTCATTATGAGTCAAGGTCATTATGACCTGTCATTCTGAGGTTGCATGTTCAACGGCTGCATCATTTTCACCTTACTGATTTCACACGAATTCATGAATTAGGACTATTATAAATATTTACATTAAACTTACGATTATGAATTGGAAATTACAAAAATTACTCTTATTTCTTAGAAAATAATTCATAATAAAATGATCTCTATTACTCCATAACATAATATAGTCTTCCTTTAACTTGAGAATGCTTGAAATCATAACAGAACATCGTTGCATGGTATCAACTATAATTCATGTTATTATGCAGCTATATTTCGTGGTTTCTCGCCATCTTTATAGGTCCTCGTTTGATCTAAAACATTGCCCTGAGGATGGCCTCCCGCTGCTAACTTCGCAAATCATGAATCGCCATCAAGCAAATCTGCAATAGTAAACATCCCGCTTTAACATTCCCTACATGGCTCCCAATTACTACATCTTACACTACTTTATAGGCACTGGGGCAACCCAAAGTACTGCTGCCCCGAATCTTCTTCACTGGCATGCACCACCCTCGAACTACAACACGTCTATTAATTCCACCCACGCCAGCGCACTGTTTATTCATATCTCGCATGATAATATCGAAAACGATAACACGAGCCTATCCATGGCAATGAGATCCGCCCCTCGTTTCCATTTAACGATGGTACCAGATTTGCATGGCCTATAAATCTCTGGGCTCTCCCTGCATGAATCAGGGGTTCGTCCTATCCTCGCATTAACTCTCTGTGACAGATTTATAGGGGGCATCCCTTTAATCTCCTCATCCTCCACCAAGATGCCATCAGTTGAATTAAGAGGATCCACGCATGCGTCATCTGTGATATATCAGTCAAAGGGTTGTGCTTTTCATGGGAGGGCAGGGGACTGATCGTTCCCTTAACATTCCATTTGTATTCATGGGGTAAGAGGGGAGGGGATATGAAGGATCAGGTTTCCTTACAGAAATATCTTACTGGGAAGGTTCGGTAATTCCAGGATGATTTTCAGTAAAATGCAATATTGACTGAAAATCACTGATATTTTTTTATTTGCGTATTTTTATTTAATAAATACTCCTCCTTTAAGGACTACAAGAATAAAAATAATAAATAATAATACTATAGTAAATTATCAAAACATTGTTATCTTATTCAATAGCAAAATTATAGTTTAAAAACACTAAAAAACATGTTTTTTAGAGTTAAACAAACCAAAAAGTAAAAAATAATTGTTAACATAAAGAACAAAATGACTGACGAGAAAATGAATACCACTGTTCTAAAAGAGCGGAGTGCTTTGTATGACATTTTTAAACTAACTCTGCATTTCGGAATGAAACTAGTGAATAATTATAACGATTGATATCGAGCACCCCACGCTTTTCGAATAGCGACATTCATTTTCTCGTCAGTCATTTTGTTCTTATGTTAACAATTATTTTTTACTTTTGGTTTGTTTAACTCTAAAAGCATATTTTTAGTGTTTTTAAAGCAATATTTAAATGAGGTCCCGGTACGGAGTACTGGAACTATAGTTCTTACAATAATTTAATTGTGAGTAAAACAAAAGGCTAAATGCGAATAGGTCGAGCCAGCCAGGATTCAAACCTCCTGATCCGTAGTCAGGCGCGTTATCCGTTATGCCACTGCCCCACGTAGGTTTGAATGTCTTAGGTACTTTCATTCTACATGGGTTAAATTGCTCTTCCTAAGTTAAAATAAAATCACTCATCCTGGCGATCCTAATCCTGATGAGATAATAAACTTATCAAAAATATTTTAGTGTCGTCGGTTCTTGATAAGTCTACAACGTTTAAATTAAATCTGATAGCTTAAAAGTAGGGCAAAATCGAGCTTAAAGAGTCAGTTACAAACAAGCATACAGGTGAAACTAATAAAAAGAGTATTAAAAAATACCATAAATTTAGGCCTATATTCCACAGATGTAATTTTAGACTGGAAAAAAAACTCGTACCGATATACTTACAGTGTCAATAAGTAAGACAAATTTTCAATTTAAATTTCCCGGACATATGGTTTTTTTTTTTCTTTTAGGTTGTTGTCACTGTCCTTGACATCTGTGTGTAATTTGATGTCAAAATATTCATTAGTGTTTGAATTACGCTTGGTTTTGTGAGATGCTAAAACTGATACCGGCGATTTTTGAAATGTCCCTTCAAGCAACTCAAAACGGTGTCTCCTGAGTGGTCTTTTGAGTTTAAGGGAATAGCCGGAAGTAGCACGATGCTAAATCAAGTGAATACGGTGGTTGTAGAAATATAAGGGTTTCAACTCTGTCGAAAAAGTCACGAAGAATCAATAATCTGATGCTGGCTGTGAAGCTGGCGCATTCAGTGTTTTCAATACCAATCGAGATTTGACGCGTTTGAGGTGCAAAACATCTTTTTAAAATGGAATTTTGAAAGTCCAACATCATCAACAAGGTCTCTAATTATAAATCGACGGTTGGCAAGCTGCAAATCTTTAATTTTTTGGAACGTGAACTTCGTCAGTTGAGGTGGATGGTCGACTAGAGGGCTCTTCGTCTTCAACGAGTTCTCTGCCTTCTTTGAACTGTTTATATCACTTCTATACATTTCTTTCCAATATAGGAATGCCCCCGAATGCCTTCTGCAACGTTCTATACGTTTCCACAAACAAAATTGAATGCAAGTTCTTTGCTCAATGAATTCAGACATTTCAAAAATTGCCAGAATCAGTTTTAGCGTCTCACAAAACCAAGCGTAACTCAAACACTAATGACTATTTTGGCGTCAAATTTCCCACAGACGTCAAGAACAATGCCAGAAATCTAAAAAGAAAAAAAATTTGAAATTTCATAAGCCCTGGGAATTTTAAATTGAAAATTGGTCTTACGTTTTGGACACAGTAATAGTTAGGTATTATTATAAAGTCATTGTTTAGGCTCATACAATATTATATATTCATCGTTTAGACTCATACAATATTATATATTCATCATTTAGACTCAGACAATATTATAAACTCACAGTTTGTTTTCCTAGTCATTCTATTTAGTATGTAAGCATAATACAGCTATTTCAGATTTTAAATTAGCCTGATGTTTTTAATACGCTTTTATTAGTTTCACCTGTATGTTTGTTTGTATGTAACTGACTCTTTGGGCTCGATTTTCCCTACTTTAAGCGATCGAATTTAATTTAAACGTTGTAGACTTATCAAGGATCAACGACAATAAAATATTTTGATAAGTTTATTATCTCATCATGATTAGGATCGCCAGGATTAGTGATTAAAACACGCAGCCTTTGAAAAGTCATCTTGATCGGCGCATCACTTTTTCCCCTGGAGATCTGTTTCTCCTCATACACACTATTTAAGCTGCAAAATATTTAATAAATATATGAAACATTTACAGACATCTTTCAGAACGAAAACAGTTGATTCTTTTTTAATACGCTTTTAGATTAGTTTCACCTGTATGTTTGTTTGTTTGTATGTAACTGACTCTTTGGGCTCGATTTTTCCGTACTTTAAGCGATCCGATTTAATTTAAATGTTGTAGACTTATCAAGGACCGACGACACTAAAATATTTTGATAAGTTTATTATCTCATCATGATTAGGATCGCCAGGATTAGTGATTTTACTTAAGAAGATCAATTTAACCCATGTAGAATGAAAGTATTCAGAAAAGACATTCTAACCTACGTGACAACGGATGACGCGCCTGACTACGGGATTCAGGAGATTCCATGTTCGAATCCTGGCTGGCTCGACATTATTCGCATTTAGCCTTTGTTTTACTCACAATAAAATATTGTAAGAACTATAGTTCCAGTCCTCCGTACCGGGACCTCATTTAAATATTATAATTTAAAAACACTAAAAAACATGCTTTTAGAGTTGATTAAACTAAAAAGTAAATAAATTAATAGTTTAAAAAAACACGCTTTTGAGTTAATCAAAGTAAAAAATAAATTAATAGTTCAAAAAAACTAAAAAACTCACTTTTAGAGTTAACCAAACTAAAAAGTAAAAAATAATTGTTAACGTAAGAATAAAATGACTGACAAGAAAATTAGAATGTCACTGTTCTAAAAAGCGTGGGGTGCTTTGTATGACATTTTTAAACTAACTCTGCATTTCGGAATGAAGCTAGTGAAAAATTATAACGATTGATATCGAGCACCCCACGCTTTTAGAACAGCGACATTAATCTTCTCGTCAGTAATTTTATTCTTACGTTAACAATTATTTTTTACTTTTAGTTTGATTAACTCTAAAAGTGAGTTTTTTAGTTTTTTTTTAAACTATTAATTTATTTTTTATTTTTAAACTATTAATTTATTTTTTTATTTTGAACTTTTAATAATATTTTATGCCATGATTGTGTAAAAAATTAGTATATGCAAAAGTAACAAATAAAAGTAGCATACAAAAAAGATGGATGATTATAAGAATAGTTAAAAGAGAAAAGAATTGATAATGGAAACAAAAAAAAATAATAACTTTTCATCTGACAATACCAAACACAAATCAATGATAAAAAAAACTTCTTATTCGAAGTTATCTGCTTAAATAAAACAATTTAACTAATTGATTGCGTAAGTTTTCATTAAAATACGGTTGATTATTTATTACTACCAAAGTGCTGAAATTATTTATCTCAGATTAGATTTAACGAAAGGTGTAATTTTTCTTTTAATATATAATGCGGCAGAACTTTTCCAAATGAAAACATGAGCATCTCGTGTGAAAATTCAGAACAAAAATTTATACATCGTACCAATTATAAACGTATCCATTAAAATTTATTCTCTTTCACACAAGACCTCCCAGACTAACAATTCGATTAATTACAAAATAAAAAAAATGAAGTAGCAACACTATATTTATTTGTGCACATTATTAAAAAATATTGTTTTGTTGTTTCTTATCCCACTTGTCAGACATCAACATCTAGACCAGAGGTGGCCAACCCAAATTATCTTGTGGGCCACTTTGGAAAAGCATCCGAACTCCGCGGACCGCATATAAAATTATATATCCCCCTATTAGATTTAGGCGCACTACAGACATTTTCTTGGAATGAAAAATGGAACACAATGAGTTATTATTATTGTGTTTACTATTATTACTACATGTAAACGTAGATAATAAAATGATAATGATAATAAACGCGCATTGTTAAGAAATATATTACACTAAAAATGAAATATAAAAATTATATAAATATAAATAAAATAAAATAAAAACGAAATCAGTAAAAAAATATTTATTTTACTAGTGAGATATTTGTTTGCACAAGAATATTATTTTAAAATCAAAGTTAATTTTTTTCTCATAATTTCGACAGTTAATTTTTGAATATATTAATGCACACATAATGTTTTATGTTATGTTAGATTGGTTTTCACTACTTTGATCATTATAAATAAATATATTTTATAAAAATATAATGAATCTCACAGGCAGGAAAAATATTACAGACAGGCTTTCGGGTTGGCCACCCTGATCTGGACCAACTCCAAGAACCCGTGTGATCTTATGGAAGGAGGGAAAGAGGAGGCAGCTTCTGTTGTGATGGAGCACCCGTAGGTAGTACCTTGGCTCCTGATGCTGAAAAAGAACTAGGGCAGTGCCTTCCGGGAGGACTTTTATGGTAAACTACCCCGTATTTGAGTATTGTATGGGAGAAAACCGAAAACTCACCAGGTAGTTCGAATAACGTTACTGAACATCCCAAACGCCATCGAGGCTCCTCGTTTTGTGAAACATTGTCTACAATAAAGCCGCTAGTGGATGGAACCACAGCCAATGCTCACCTGCCCACACGTTGCCACTGAGCCACGAGTAGGGCCCAAAAAATAATGACTGTTATTATTACAATTATTTAAAAAAATGAATAACAATTTCTGCTTTTTGCGAAAGCCTATTCTTATTTAAATCGATAAAATTGCGTGAAGGTGGGAAAATAATAGAAAACAAGTAATATAAAAAAAAAAAAATTTAAGTCAATTCCTACTTTTTTCACTCTATTTGCAGAAAGTCCTTTTATGAATAATTTTCATTCATTTTTTTAAAATTTATCTGGCGCCATTTATTGGTAGATACAGGCAACTTAAATCTAAAAAAAACTAAAATTAATTAATTTAATTTAATTACTGAATTAACATTTGAAAAAACTGCATCAACATCAAGTGTCATCCACTACAAGTTCAAAAAAATGTATTTGAACTTGAGTGGATGAATAAAAAGTATTTTATGAACGATTGAAAATGTGAACAAGATATATCTATAGGGAGAGTGTGAGTTAATAGAAGGAATTTAAAAAATGGCTTTTTGTTTTTTCAAATTTTCGTAGAAATATTACTTATTTCCGTAGTCCATCGTAAATCGAAAATTTTCATTATTTTCCTTATAACGACGTAAATGGAAAGATACAAAATTTACTGTTCTAAATGTTAAATACGATGTTTTCTTATTACATAATGCAAAAATAATGTGAAATTAATAAAAACTATTAAAAAATGTTTTTCTCTACAAATTTTCATCATAGTGCAGTGTTGAATTCAAGCGCAGGAATAAAATTTAAATACGCAACGTAGACGCCATTTTCCCTCCAAGAGAATTTACGAGTTTTTAACTCTTAGAGCAAAAACCATCAT